CATAGACTCCTAAGGCAGGGTCTTGGGTCCCTGAACTCTTCTAGACTCAAGCTAAAGTCCACACAGGGGCAGTTTGAAGGTTCAGGGCCTAAGTGACCCTGACATTAGTATTACTGTTTGTATTGCAAGATGCCACTCTTTTTGTTATGGTAGCAGAACTGGGTTATTCCTTATTTTATGCCAAAATATAACAGAACAAGCTCTCTCCCTCTTGGAAACATGAACTTTTGTAAGCTGACCAAATTAAAAACAAGTTCAGGGCCTGATCCTATTTTTTGACCCAAAACAACAGTATAATCCTAATGTTCCCTAATCCTCCATTGATGTTTGTAGTGCCTTGGCATGAGAAGTGAACTGCTTGACTTCAGTGTACTAAGTGTAAAGTGGTATTAAGATTTAGTTTCCAGATGACAAAGAAAAGTCAGTAATTAATTTCCCAAGACATTTGCTTTTATGAGTTATTACAGTATTTTGTACCACAGTTTTCAGCCCTCTTTTCTTTGGTTCCAAATATGCCAAAAAGAAAACCCTTGTAGCAAATTATATCACTCATTGTCACTGGATGGAGGTTGAACACGCTGAAAAATTGAGCAGTCACGACAAGGACAAGAGGCTATGATGTAGCTATCACTGAGGAAAATAAGTAAATGAAATGAACTTAAATCCTCATCTTTGTAGTCATCAAGCATTTTAGCCTATGCATCTCTCCATTTTATCTGAGAGAGAGTTCAGTGTCACTGTCTTTTTTTCTTTCTTAAAGTAGGTTCAGGACCACATAATCAGGACCTACCTTACCCAATCACACTTTTTTTCATCTGCATGTGGAAATAAGGTAATCTGTACACTACATTTTTACTTGTCCTCTGATTCTCAAGGAAAAAGATGCAAGTTCCTGCTACTGCCTTTAGCAATATAATATCCTATCTGAAATCAAGATCCACTTCCAATTTATTGCCTCCTCTCAAATATTCCAGCATAGTTGTATTAGTAGTTGTAATGTTGTCTGGTACTTGCTGATTTATCTGTTTGTGAACAAGTAGGAATTGATAATCTGTGCTCCAAACAGTTTCCAGAAGAAGCCTGAGGAAGTACATCCCTATGAATATGAAATCTGAGGTCCCCTCTGCATGTTATAGCTGTTGTGCAATTCACTGGAGATCAGCTGCCTGTGCAAAGTAGCTATCACACAATAAAAAGCTGCACGCAGCTATAAAGTTATGCCTTGAAAGTGTATACTAACTGTATAACTGGTTATTATCTGGCTTGAATTTACACATGTAACAGCTCATTGGGCTCCCAGGTGCAGGGGAGACTGACAGGGTTCCCATCTGCAGGGGTCCACCAGGCCCAACACGAAACTTTGGAGCACTAGGGATCATGGCTGCCATGATCCCTGAGGCTCGAGGGTGCACGAAACCCCCGGGGTTAGAGGATTACTATAGAGGTGGTCCCTCTCCCCTGTGGATCCGGGAAAGCCCCAGGGCCAGAGGGTCATGGTGATCTGCCAGTACCAGGGGTTTCCCACACTACTAGGGTAAGGGGATCACCCATGAGGTGATCCTCTGGCCCCAGGGATTCTGGGCGCATCCAGAGTAGGGAGATCACCGCAGCGAAAGAAAGGATCAATTCAGAGCAACTCCCAGGCTCGGGACCTTGCTTCTTGAAAGTGCAAGAGAAGCCTGGTCCCAATCCCAGGCTCCCCCTGCACTGGCAAATAATGCATGATGGGATGTAATGTGAGATCCCACAATCACACCTCCCGACCTGCAAGTGTAGCATGGCTGGTGGTGTGGATGGTGTTCATTGCACATTACGTCACATCTTGCCTTTAGGTACAGGGGCCTTAAGTAAAACAAACTGCTTGATACACAAATAGATATATCACCAAGGGACCGCAGCTATTGGTGAGTTCAGTGCTTCTGGTGGAATGGTGTTTATTTAATGCTGGGATCTTTTGTAGCTTGGAAGGATTAAAACATCTACATGGTTCTGACCTTGATAAACAATCCTACTAGGGAGCTCCCTGCTGATGGGGACTAGGGAACCTGTTCTCTGCCCAGTTCTGTGGTTGTAGAGCTGGGTGGAGAACAGGTACAGAGGTGGGTGGGGAACCCCTGCCCTGTAATTGCGGAAGCGGGCCTGGCAACTGTCTTGGTCGGAGCAGGTCCCAGCCCCATGCACCAATTTGAGTGACTGAAGTGCAGGGTAAAGAAAGCTGCAGGAGTGGGGCAGGTCCCAGGCCCCTACCCCTGATCCACCAGTGGAGTAGCTAGCAATGAACGCCCAGCCCGGTGGGGAATGCCTCCTTTCCATGATTGCAGGGCAGGGGCTGGAGAGCCTGTTCCCCACCCAGCTCTGTGACCCCAGCCCCTATCAGCAGGGAGCTCCCAGCCCTGACTTCATGACTGGGGAGTCTCTGAGACTACTCCTACCTACAGCTAGCAGTGCGTTCCCAGCTGGGTGGGGGCTTGCTGGTAGCTTCCCCACCAGCATATCAGGGCAGGGAGCTTCCCCTCCCCTGCAGCTCTTTCCAAGTCCCTTTCCCCTGATCAGGGAGCTGGGGCCAGGAGTTTCCTGCTGCTGGGGCATGGGAAGATTGCCCCCACCTCGAGTCTGGTGGCAAAGCCTGCCCCCAGCAGTGTCCCAGCCCCCCCACCCCAAGACAGCTGTATCCTGGGCCATGCTCCTTGCCAGCCTCTGGGCTAGCACCCAAGGAGAACCTAGAGCTCCCCTGGCTGCTGCAGGGGGCTAGTGCAGGGCCGGCAGGCATGGGAGCAGATGCTTCCATGAGTTCCCAGTCCCTGCACGTGTAGACGCCTGCCTGGGAATGTTTACTCTCAAGTAATTTAGTTGTGCGTAAACTACTCCCAGATCATATGCATGCGCAGACCACTAAAACCAAAATTATTGTGGCAGAGCTTGGAAATATATGCCCTTTTTACAGCTGTTTCTCAGAATTATTCTTACCTTTTCAACTTCTTTGGCTAAATGTTGTCTAGGATTTCTCTTCTATTCCCTGATGAACTTTTCTTTTTGTGTCAGTGGACTATTTCAGTAGATATTACTTCAAACAGAAGCTCCACGCAAGGAATCAATGTGTGTCAGCTATCTTCCTCTTAAGTGTGGGTACTGATTATTTATGCCAACAGCGGTAGGAGAACATCATGCAACCATAGCCCAGAAGTGAGGAGGATTTTGCCTTCCCCCTTCCAAGTTAAAAAAAGCAAATAACCCAAAAAGTCCTTCAAATGAAGCCCCTCTTTTCTTCATTTAGGCTCCTGTTGGGAGGTGGCTCCTGTTAGGAAGTAGCTCTTTCTTTCCCCTTCACACTGCAGTGAGGGTCTGTGAAAAGGAGCCTTCTTAGAAATCCTCAGAAGAGGATAATTGGCACCATTCAAGGGATCCTGTTGGTAGGCCCCTGATGGATGTTTGTTTCCTCCTACCTGGACAGTATCTCAGCTGATGACAAACGGAGGACTTTCTTCTTCAGATTTACGGGTTGTAGGTTGTAGCTGTGTTGGTCTAAGGACATAGGCAGACACTGGACTGTTAGTTCAAGTCCCTTTCTCTACAAGAACGTCTGAGAAGTATGCACATAATGGGCAAGGATTTGCTCCTTTCAGCTGTTCCTTCTCTGTTCCTCTTGTGCACCCAATTTTTTTTCTCCTGATTCCTTTCTCTTCTCATTAATTTCTCCTTTATTCATTCTCCAGTTCCCTTCCTGATCTACCCTGCTTTTGCTATTCATTCACTGTCCCCGCCCCCAAATAAGATGGCTGCTCTGCTACTGCTTTGCTATTAAAGGGATTTAGTTCTGCCACAAAACAAATGTTATCGCCCAGCCTGGTATTCATCTATCATGGAAAAAAAAATGTTGCTTGCAGAAATATTTAAGGAAAGCAAATATAAGAGCAGTGAGAACAGGATGAAGCAACATTTGGTTTCCATTTGACCAGCTCTAGAGGCAAACCCTTTGTTTGAGAAATTCAATGGGAAAAATGATGAAACATGGTACAAATGATAGACCATTTGATCAGCTGTACTAAAAGAGAGTCTGTGAACCCTTGTGACCTCTAATGTCTCCTTTGCATAACCTTTGTGACATGAAATTTGCTATGAGAAATAGAACAGGATTAATAATTAATATTTTTGCTGGTGTCTGAAATAGTGACACAAGGTTGGCTTTAGATGTATGTTTTATTAATGAGGTTTGAAAACAATTGCTTTCTCCCAGCAACAGACAGCCCAGACCTTTAGACTGAAAAATGAGTGGAATAAAATGTGTGGTTCTCCACGTTTTCTTTGAGGGCATCAACAGAATTTAGTCACAACACAAAAATGCGAGGAAATGAAAAAAAGGGGGTTAAAATAATCACGCTTGCAATGATTCAAAGCAAAAACCTCAACTTGGGCCAATCTAGGTGAAATATGGCATATTTCATCAAAGCACAACAACGTTTTTTTTTCCACAGTATATAATAAGGAAGGAGAGTGCATCTTACTAAATGTCTGTTAATGTAACAAAATGTCACTGAGATAATTACGGGTGTGACATTTGCATGACTCTGCTGGACCTCATTATGCTGCAGCAAATGTAAAGCCTAGCCTTTTGCGACCATTTTCCCCCACCTGTGGCTAGGTATGCAACCAGATAACTAATGAAGAGCACTCTGACCAAGAAAAGAGCCCTTTTGGGGGCAACAAAAAGAGCATTTTTAGTAAACAGGAGTATTTACATTCATCATTTGTAACTGTTCAGTGTATATAGATAATTGTTGTGCTCTGAATGCTATAGGAATTAGATGTCTGCTTTTCATGTTAATACTTATTTGGGTTTTGGGTGGGTTTTTTTTGGTTTTTCTACTTAAAATGGTCTCAGCACTAGTCCCAAGTCTTTTAATGTAGTCATCAGTAATACTTTAACTGTCCAATAAATTAGATTACACATACAGAATTAACTTGAAAATAAGGCTCTAATAAATATGATCTTTCCAACTTACATGCAAACTGAAGCTTTGCCTTCCTGCTTAGAATTGTTCCAAATGAATTGGTGGCCAAACACTGGTATGTTCCAATATCTTGTTTTTTATGTGGGTTATTGATTGCCAAGCTGCCTCCAACCAACCTGTAGTGATAACTCATGGTAAGATCAATATCTGTGCCATTTTGCTTCCACCTTTGAGGGGAAAAAAATCAAATTATGCTTATAATTTACAGAGCCTAATCATATTTATCTTTAAATAGTGTGATGTAGCATACCTGTAACAATAAACATGTGGTTAAATATCACAGAATCATACCATTTTTCACAGCTGGCTGTTTTTTATATTAATTTTAACAATACCAATATTTCCATTATTTTGAAAACCTTTACTTTTTTTTTTTACACATTAGTTACCAGTTGTTTGCAAAAGGTAATTATAACTTATTCACACAGACTAAATTATCCAACCAGTTGGGAGTACAAAATATGCCTTGACTGGAGATGCATTTTTCCCCCCCATAACATGAATGGTACCTGAAAGTGTTTTACCGTTTTTGCAAGTGATGTCATAAATTTGGTTACAGAAATGATTTGGAGAAATAAATCGGAAAGGATTATACTTCAAAGGACAGACGAAAGCAGAGGGAGATTTTTATAGAGCTAGTTTTGAGATTGATAATGTAATAATGAGAGTGCTGCTATTTTTAAATCTGATTCGTCTCTGTTAGGCTGTTAAGTAGAAAATGGATTGTGTCTGCAACATTTCACAGTTGTTTACGAATGTCAGAATAAACATTATATTTTACAGGAAACAAATATTAGTTATTGTAAGATGGAAAAAAATCTCGTGACCACACCATTATTTAAGTCAGGGTAGAATTAACACAACAAAGCTAAGAGAATGCAATTGCCCCAGAAGCTGCTGCTTGAAGCCGTGGGGTTATAAAGCCAGTCGCAGAGAAGTACTTATGTTCCTGTGATTATTACTTTCTTCCTAATGCAACTACAGCATAGTACTAAGATGGAACAGAAATGCAAAGAACTCATACATGACTCAAGCAATGGAGAAGACCTTGTGGGAGCACTCTGTATAAGGGTAGGGAAAGGAAAGGATTTATAGCTTTTAATTATGTGTAGGACCACTCTGTAAGCATCAGTTGTCAATTAGCTACCAAAATAAGGTCCCCAGGTATTGATAGTAGCTTAGGTGAATTTGCTTCTATGGCAAGCAACCTGAAACAAAATTCTGCACCTTTAACCAATGCCTGAAAAATTAAAAATTTGTAGGAATGAAAATTTGGGACAATATGTTATCAGCTGGTGTAAGTTGACATAACTTCATTATCAATCACTTGATTTGGCCTGGTATGTGTTGCAAAATACTGGATATAAACCAACTGCAATCTAGTAGAGTGGAATATCTGTGAATGGAGGATGTTTCAGATAGTCTTTGCAGGCTGCAACAGGAATCTTGACACAAATGTACTGGCAAAGACAAGAATCATGACTTGGGATGTATGTGTTTAATCATGACTTGGGATGTATGTAAGTAGATGTATGCTTTTAAAGAGGAGAAGTAATTGATCAAATATCAAATCAATAGAATTCCATGAGAAAATTCTAGTAGCTTTAAATAATTTACCTACTTCCGCCAATCTCTGCCTTCTCTTTCATGAATGCTTTAACACTAAGAACTCTTGAGGCAATGGTCGAACATCAATATTTTTCCTGCCTCCCAGTTGTTACTGATTTTGACCATTGAATTGCCATTCTCTCTTTTGCATTTCTGTCAGAATGAGCAGAGACTTTGCTGATTGTCCATCCATTACTTTTTTATGAAGTTCTCTGCATCCCAATTTTGCCATATGCCATAATTTGCTTGCATTCATTGCTCTCTGGCTCTTGGTTCTCCTTTCAGTTTTCTAGCATAGGATATACTGAGACACAGTTTGCCAGCTCTTTTTAATTTAGGAATCAATCACTGAAATAACTGCTGTCGTTATTACATGGCTCCCAATTACGCTCTATAATTGTTTTTCAACACAAATGCAAAGTTGTTGGCTTAGTCTCAGCAAATGAATTTTTCACAGTATCCCCATAATCATTCTAATCACCATGGTACAATGATTATTAAACTGCATATAGACCAGGAGTTCAGCTCCTGGCGTGGGTTTTTTCCTAATTAATATGTTTAAATCAATGAAGGAAGGGAATTAATAAATTTGTGTGATTGCCAGACAAGTATTTAATGATTGCATTGCCTAGCCCAGAATGCTATTTCATATCAAGGAATATGTAGAAGATAGTTTTGAATAATTTTTAATGTATGTATATGAAGTCTTATATGGCCAAGTGGCATGAAACTTTTCTATTTAAAATATATCCAAGGGAAGTGGTGCTGGCCCCTACCCTGGGGGTCTTTAAGAAGAGGCTGGATGCCTACCTGGCCGGACTCATTTGAGTCCTGTCTCTTTTTGGGGTTTTTTGTTGTTCTCCCGCCCTGGCGGGGGGTCGGGCTAGAAGATCTACTAGGTCCCTTCCGACCCTTAATCTATGAATCTATGAATCTATATATCTTCTTATTGTGTGCCGTGCAACACTGATGAAAAATTGCCTATCTTCAGAATCTAGACTGAAAATAATTAAGATGTTGATCTTGGTTTAAATAATTCCCTAGAGAGGAAATGTGCTCAGATAAGATAGATAGATAGAAAATGTGGCCAGTCCTCAAGAAGCCCTATTTTATAGATTCATAGAGGTTAAGGCCCGAAGAGAATAATATTAAAATCTAATCCAACTTCCTGCATAATACTGACCATAGACTGTTGCCAATAAATCCTTCAGAAAGCCTATAATTTCCAGCCACACTAGAGCATATCTTTCCAAAAGGCCTTCAACCTTGATTTAAAGATGTCAAGTAAAGGAGAATCCACCATATTTCTTGTTAAGTGGGTCCAGCGATCCTCATTTTCTGAAAATAAACCCTTTTATGTCTAGCATGACTCTGTCTAGTTATCTTTCACCCGTTAGGTTTGCTTTTGATACTGTCTTAAAGATTTATCCCAAATCTTCTCTCCATGTATAATATGATTAAGACACTTACCCTTTTCTTGGGTTTTATCTACACTCCCATTCATATCAAAGTTACTAAAATCCCCTTTGCATATGCAAAGGTACTAAAAATAAGAATGACATTTGTGTTTTTTCCCCCCAACTGAAGACAAAATGTTGAAATGTCAACTTTTTTTTTTTTCCAGAATAGAAATTGTCAGAAGTTTTTAGATATCAAAATGTTTTGTTTTGACTCAGGTACATTTTTAGTTTGACAACCTCTACTTTTGCACTGCTTCACGAGAGGTTTTTCAGTTGAATGCCTCGGGCTCTATGCTCCATTATGGCTTCCTGCCAAAATCTAGTTCTCATAATGCACCAGGGTGTCTCCTTTTTGCTAAATGACTCACTGCTCATCATGGGATGTATGGTCGATTTAGGTAGTCTTACCCAGAGAAGAAAAATGGAGAAAGGAGGCATTCAAACTACAGCTCCTGTAATATGCTGCAGAAATTTAAGCAGACAGAAAAGAGTTGAACTTCCTAAGATAAAAAAAAATTGATTTGGTTAGGCAAGGCAGCATTAATTATTGATTTAGCTCTCCCCCACCCCCGCCCCAGAAAAAGCCTTTGTTTTCCTGGATAGGGGCAGGGGAGGCATCTTGGTTTAAAAAAATTAAAATGTTGACATCAAGTAGGGATCTAGTAGAGATGTTTTAAAAAAAATGGGAAAGTTTCTATCAGAAAAATAAAGTTTTGTTTAATGTTTCATTAAGTTTGGTGCAAATGTTCAGTTCACAGTTGAAAGAAATAATTTTCAATTTCTCATTTCATTAAGGTAATATCAAAAAATTTCATGCAGATTATGTTCAACCAGAGTTGGCTTTGATAAGGTAAAAATACTTCATTTCAGATTTCTTTTAGTGAGTCAGTATGTTTGATTTACTAGTACATTAAAGATTAAATACATGTAATACTGTAGATCGGGGGCGTCAAAGGTGCAGTCCATGGGCTGGATCCAGCCCATAGAGGTTTATCATCTAGCCCACAATGAGGCCCATTGGTATCAGAATTGACCCATATGCACCACATTGTGTGTACTGGATCAACCCCATGCTGCAGGTCTGGGATTTGTACTTCATGAGGCACCTGAGCCAGGGCAGTCTGTGATAGATCTGGCATGCGGGGCTGGTCTCTGGGCCTGACCCAGCCTGTGGACCAGCCGCATGACAGCTGTTCCTGATACGTTTGACACCCTTGTTATAGATTATATTCTTGTTCATGATTATGGAAACAAAACAGGATTGGGCCTTGGTTTGAAACCACTGAGGTCATTTCTGTTTTAAACAATCTCACAGACCACTGTCCTCACTTTGTTTTGCTTTCTGTGTTGCAAAGGAAAAGAGGGTTTTCCTTTTGCACATTTTACAAACAAATGCAAACAATAGGAACAGAGATGTGGATGATGAGTCTTCTGCTTCCATTAAAAAAAATCAATTTGATCAATTTGAACAACACTAGCCATTCCTTTTGATCATTAAACTTGCATGGTTACTCTGTGCAGATCCAGGACATCATCACCTTTTCAAATGAGACATGCATAGAATCAACATCTCCCCGAGATGGAATGGACCCTACAAAGCATTTTAGCACCAAAATAGGTTAATTAACTACTACAGTGGTCCTTTACTGGTGCTTTTATAAGTGGTTAAAAATGTACCTGAAGCAACTGACCTGAATGGCAGTCAAAGGAGGATGAAATTGTTTCCTCAACTGGAAAACGTTAAAGAAAGTATTTCCAGTGTGCTGCTTACAACCAGAAAACTCCCTGATAAGTACATGAGAAGTACTACTGTACCAGGGCTTATGGAAATCAAGACTGCTACAAGGAACCAAAGAGCACAGATCATCATTACTCTTAACCTTCCTAACTCATGGTGAGACACGGCCATTTTTGTGGCTTTGTCCCAGCACAAAGAGCCAATTTCACAGGCATTTTGTGTTGGTCCCACCCCTCAGAGCTGATTGGTGGAGAAGCCCTGCCCCTCAGCACTGATTGATGGAGAGGCCCCAGGAGGAAGGAAGGATGATGGGGCAGTCCCCATCTTCACCACTGGCTGCCCTTCATCCAGACCCTCAGTG